TTGGTTTTCCTCTGCGGCCCAGATTCAAAGCATCTGGGTTCGGTTCCCCGAGTCAGCAAAATCCAGCGCCAGCGAGATTTGAACAAGCAAGACTATATTTGCACGTTGACAGGTTAACTCTTACTGTGTAATAACGGTCTCTAATCCTAAGAAAAGGTCTTTAAAGTTATCAAAAACCAGCCTTCGAGAAATCTGTTTAGTTTTCTCAAAAGGAAAAATTACTTTGAATTACAGAATGACGTCATTCATAAACTTTCCCAAAGCAGATTCCAGACTTAACCTGATAAACCAGCAGGTTTATCTCAGTTTTGATAGTCGGCGAGCTGCTCGTTCAACTGTGACGTCCACTGCTGTGAACTGTTTTCATAATCTTTCTCTTTTCAGGCTGTCCCAGAACCACAACGTGTCCCAGAACTGCAACGTGTCCCAGAACTGCAACGTGTCCCAGAACCACAACACGTCCCAGAACCAGCGAAGATATCAGAAGCTGAGCCGAAAGCAGCAGAAGATCCAGAGGTCACAGAAGCAGTCAAAGCACCAGAACCTGTGGCAGAACCAATAAAAGTGCCAGAGACAAGAGCGGAGCAACCACCAGCACCAGAAGCAGTCCCTGAACCAACCAAAGAGCCAAAGTCTGTTCCAGAATCAGTCACAGTATCAGAACTTGTCTCTGAAGCTGTGTCAGGCCCAGAACCTGTTCTCGAACCAGATGAAGCACAAGAAGCAGCAGCAGTGTCTGAACCCATACCAGGCTTGGTACCGGGCCCAGAACAAGCTGCAGAACCTACCCCAGAGTCCAAACCTGTAGCAGAGCCCTTATCAGAACCAGACATGTCCCCTGAACTCGTATCTGAACCCAAAACTGTCCCAGAACCTGTGACTGTCCCAGAACCTGTTACTGTCCCAGAACCTGTGACTGATCCAGAACCTGTGCTCGTGTCTGAAGTGGCAGCCCAGAAACTCGCGACTGAACCTGAAGAACTGCTTGAGCAGATGCCCGGACCCAATGAAGGTCTGACAGAACCATCGCACAAGCAGGAACCAGAACCAGAGACCATCCTGGATGATGGTAAGTCTGCTAGCTGGACTGCATTTCTACTCTTCTGTCTCTGTTCAGAGAGGTTTTGGTCTCAGTTGACCTCGGTGGACCACATGAGTCCAGAACTGGTTTTATTTCTTGGCCAAGGACTGCCAGGTGTCTAAGTTTCCAGTAATTAAATATTAGGAGCACCCCAAGGCTCTATCCTGGGACCTCTTCTGTTGAACATCAATTTGAAAAGCCAAACCTGTGAAATAATTCAGTACAGCCTGTGAACTGATGTCTTTAGTGAAGAATGATGGTTCCTCAAGTTTACTTTATTTATTTAGCCCAAATCACGACAACCGTTGGCTCAAGGCTCCTGAACGCCTCAATGCCAACACCTCAAAAACATCTTTGAACAGTGACATCAAATCAAATCAAATCAATTTATTTGTATAGCACTTTTCACAGGATAAAAACCACAAAGTGCTTCACAGTAATATAAAACAGAAATACATAAAATACATTAATAATAAAACACAGCAGAAATCTAATTAAAAGCCAATCTAAATAAATTAGTCTTAAGTTGCTTTTTAAAAGAATAAATACAATCAAAGAAACGTAATGATGGAGGGAGAGACTTCTACAACCTGGGGGCGCCGCTCTCAAAGATCTGTTGGAGACGTACGACTGAAGCCACTTCAAAGCCAGACCGGACACACCGACTATGAGCCTGTTAATCAGGATGGTATGGTCAATGGTATCAAAGGCAGATGTCAAGTCCAACAAAACCATGACTGAGGATGCTCCGGAGTCAGCTGAC